GAAGAGTGTCAACTTTTCAACCTTCTGCAGCTCACACCCTGCCTTATGCAGACAAGCCCAACCATTTCCCCACCTTTCCTCAACCAAAATACTCAATCTTTAAGAAAAGGCAATACTCAGTCTTTAAGAAATGGCCATTTATAAAGAACCTGGGTGAAAACCCAAGAAAGCAAGAAACCCAGCAGGGGCCAACGCCTTAGGTCGAGGAGCAGAAGAGACAGGAAAGTTGAGTCGTGAACCGACGAATCGGCAACCGACCTGTTATCAGTGATAACAGAAGAGTGATCCCTTTGAAGGATCAGGCTGATCAGATCAAGCCTTCAAACGAAATACGGAAACCTGCATCACAGTACAGGCCAAAAAAACCACTACTATGTTCATGCCAAAGGGAGAATACTCCCCAAGTCGTAACCTAGATCCTCTATTATTCTCATCGTCAGCTCCCCTTACTAGTACCAGGTCACTGAGTACCTCCCCTGTTCAGGGTAGATTTGCCAAGTAACTCCTAGCTGAAAAATACCTCAAATTCTACGAAATTTCGGCAGCGCTTCCTGTAGGAAAAGTGCCTTTCCAGAATTTCTATGAGCCCGAAAACGACTAACTCTTTCAGATTTGTAGAAATTTCGACAGCGCTTCCCGTAGGAGCAGGAGGCTGTCAAGATTTATATAAAGCTGAAAAAACAGAAAGACAATGCAAGCTATACTTCGGACTAACTTCTGACACTTACTTGATAGTTAGGACTGGAGATAGCTCACACGATCCCTTTTCAAAAGATGGCATCGTGAGCTATCGTCAAATTCTAGATGCAAGTAGTAAGGTCAGTCCTACCTTCATCCCAAGCTCTCCCTCCCATCATCCATCTCATCTAGCTATGGCTCCAGCACTTGGCGAGCATCTAAATAACTAACCTATCAAAAAGACACCCCAAAGTGAGACCCCACATGCATGCATAAACAAACACCTCTCACAATCCCACATCAGTTTGACCCAAGTAGTTCATTAGATCACTCAGTTCTTTTGCCCTTAGTAAACCCCTTTGCATATGGCATATGATCAGACAATGCCCTAACTTAAGGGTGTGTCCAACCTGCCTAAGTAAACAAGTAAAGGCATACACAACTGGACTGCCCTAACTTAAGGGTATGTCCAACACAAACTCAGTCTGAATCAACTGTACAACTTGCGACTATGGCCGCCAAACACTCTCTACCACCAGCCTCACTTCCCCACACTCTCGCATGAACGCATGTATGAGGATCACCCTGAATGGCCACGCTGTACACACACACACACACTCTGTACACCCTGTCTACACCAGCAGCTGGGCGGCTATTGTTGCCGCCGTCTTCCTCCTCCTAGCTATGGCCGTCGGTGTCTCTCTCGCTGGTTCGCTGTGGCCGCTGTCTTCTTCACGGCCCACTTCCTCTCCGGGCACCCGCAGACCTCCACGCACAAGATACCAAGGCAGCTCTTCCGCATGGCACACAGGCGAATGAATGAATGGCTGGACGCTGCCTCTTGATTTATACTTTTTCAGAGGTACCCGGGCCCTACCTCGAAACGTGTGGGCCTGGGCCAAAACGTGTGACCCAGGGAAGCTTCCAGACGTTTGGCCTTCTGGCCAAAACGTGTGGAACCCACAACGTAGTCCAAAACCTTCCCCACATGCAGCCCCTACCCCTGGTACTTGCTGACTGGACTGGCCTACAGGGACCTACGACCTTCTAGAGCCCACAGACTTACAAACAGACCTTCCTAAGCCTAACGGTAACAGACCTAACTCCTAATCTACAGACCTAGGGATCGAGTCTTACACAGATCGATGGGCCTATGTACAGGGTAAAGGGTAGGTCTAGGGATCGAATCTCACTCAGCACAATGGGTCAACGTACAATGTACAGGATAGGTCTAGGGATCAAATCTCACTCAGCACACAGGGTACATGTATAGGGTTTGGGCACAGGTCTAGGGATCGAATCTCTGTGTCTGCAAATGTCGGGTCTGGTGGGTGAAACCATTTCACATTTGGTTCCACGCATGCTCTCCGTTATTCAGCATTTATTATTTTTGCTGGGTGATTCAGTTTCAGTCGTTGTAGGCCAGGTTCAGATTTGTCTGTATGTGGGACTGGACCAGGCATTTGTCTGTTTGTGGCTCGCCCAGTCCTCAGGACCCTTCAGCATCAGCAGTGGATGTCGGGTAGGGAGTCAGGCAGGTCGTTTTTGGCCACGATCGTAACACCAGGACTGGGGCCTGCGATAAGGACCATCGATCGGACATCAGATCCGACGGTCCTGATCACAGACCGAGGACTGCTCAGCCAGGCCCTACGGTATATAGCTGGGCCAGTCCACTTTGAGGACATTCGGGGTGGAGCCTCCTTTGGGTGTCACACTGCTGGAGCAGCGCCAGTCTGGGGAGAGCTGCTATAGAGCAGTGCTGGAGGATTAGAGGAGTTGGCTGGAGTGGAGAGGTTTGCTGGAGGCCGTGTCCACGAGGGAGAGAGAGACTTACCTGGGCGCCATAGCTGGGACTTCATACCGGTCATGGGACCGGCCTTCAGCAGCGACCTGCATCGGGAGTCATCACCTTCGCTGGTCAGTATTCACGGCATCGTCATGAGGAGCGCATGGGAGTGGAGAACTCTTCTTCTTTTTCTCCTGATTCTTCTCCACTCCTCCATAGCCACTGTTAATATTCTTTTCCTCCTCCTCCCTCTATTCTTCTTCCTCTCCAGAGAGAGAGAGAGAGAGAGAGAGAGAGAGAGAGAGAGAGAGAGAGAGAGAGAGAGAGAGAGAGAGAGAGAGAGAGAGAGAGAGAGAGAGNGAGAGAGAGAGAGAGAGAGAGAGAGAGAGAGAGAGAGAGAGAGAGAGAGAGAGAGAGAGAGAGAGAGAGAGAGAGAGATTTCAGGCAGTGACTATCTCGGGCCATGGAGCCCAGGATCTGATTCGACATTTTTGAGGACAGACATTGGTTGGACATTTGACGGGGAGAATATTTCTTGGACAACAACGAGTCCTACTTTTGTCCTATTTCCCCTCTCCATCTTCGTCTCTCCTCCCCCCTCATCATCCGTGGTTTCTCCCCATGTGTGTGCGCAAGGAGGGATCTTTTTTCTCTGTATGATTTCCCTCCTTGCTGTGTGACGTGTGTGATGATGATTGTGCAAGTCGAGTCTGGATCTGATGTGTCAGGTCATAACCTCGAGTCTTCCGCTGCGCTACATTGCATTAACTCGTTTTGTTTTGGGTCCTGTTCATCACGCTGGTGCTCCTTGGGCGTCTGCACTGCTCATCTTCAGATGAGCATGCATCACCATAGGAGGTAATGACAGATTAATTGTCAGAAGAGACAGAGGCAAAGGCAGCCCAGGTATGGGAGATTAATGTGTGTCTGTTTGTCTGATGGAGAAAACTCAGGTCTGTTTCCTGAGGGGTTATTCTGCCTAAACCTTGCACGCTCATAGGTGGTTGGAATGGATGTTGCTTCGGATTAGCATTGAGAAATACCCAGTGTGGTGGTATTGGCGGTTCGACGCTTGGGAGTGGTTTGAGAAGTTCACTGAAGCTTATCATTTACAGGAAGGGGGAGTCATGACAGGGTTTCTGTGGGCGACCTGAAAACAAAAACAAAAAAAGAAGAAGAAGAAGGAGAAGATAAAAAAAAGAGGAAAAACTGGATCGGAAGGTCAATTTCACAACCGCCTACCTACACAGCTGAAGATCCCTTCTTTGTTCTCATTAAGCAAGCTTCCCCCTCTCTCATCAGATAGCAGGTACTCGCTCAGGCCAGTACGTGACAAGGCCCATTGGTAGGCTGTAAAGGGCAATCAAGAAGAACAGAGAAACAATATCTGCAATTGAATTCCCGAAAGGAATAAGCAATAAATTGAACAAATCATAATTATCATCATGAAACTGTGGGCTTCAGAACACGAATGAGTAACAGCAACGAGAAAATGCGTGCAGTGTAGACTTGCGTCAGCTCAAACCATAAACATGCTCAAAGTGCATCTGCACACACCACACCGCTAAGCGCCATACATATCGGCCACCAGCACACCCTCCTGTAAGATGCACAGCACACACACTAGTGCGGCAAGTACGCTTACCAAAGATTGGACAACGTGAAGTGCAATGGTCACCGGCATCCATGTTCGGTCATCACCCACCTGTCAGTCTTCAGTTGATGTCACTTCCCGCCTCCAAAAACTGGTGAGTCGTGTGTTAGCAACTTTGCACATGTACAGGATGTGAAGGGCTCATATCAACTTTACACAGGCCTTAGCATCTTGTAAAGCAACATTGTTTTTCCTGGTATACTTTGAACACGAACACATGGCGAGATAATTCGAAAAAAACTGTTTCAGTTCACTTACCTCAAGCACTACACCAACCACACATTGACTTTATACACACGTTGTAAGAGCCCCCCGTTCACGTCTCACTTCCCATTATAGTATCCCAAGCTGCTGCCGGTGATGCAACCTTTCTTCTGATCCCACCAGCTCATCACATATCATTGAAAACTTCGTCTGCTTACCTTCAACACAACTGGTTTTGCAGGTTAATACGAATGCTGATGCATTACGTCTCATGACCTCTTTCTGCTTCTGTTCATCCTGCAGACCCCGGAGACCGCCCAGCACTTTAGACAGAACAGCAAGTCTTGTTGATGTAGAGGACTATTGCTTCAACAGCCCAGGTCCGAGAGACTGCCCATCACTTGATCATTTTTCTGGCCCAGACTGCCCACCGATGTAGACAGAAAGGACAGAAAGTCTGATGTGTGAGATCATTACCAGCAAGTTACCGCCCAGTTTCCTGCAAAAACAGATGAGACACTTCGGAACCTACATCCTGCCCCGCTGGTGTCTCACCAGTCATCGCCCAGTCTGATGTGTGAGATCATTAGTAGCAAGTTACAGCCCAATTTCCTGCAAAAACAGATGAGCCACTTCGGAACCTACATCCTGCCCCGCTGGTGTCTCGCCAGTCATCGGGTCAGGGGGAATCGGGGGGAAATTGGGGGGGACAGGAAGCAGGAGCGGAATGGGGATCAGGAAATGGGGACGCAGTGAGGAAGAGATTTGAGGCGCCGGGAAGGAGGGCGGGAAGGGGGAAATTGTGGCGGGGGGAGGG